CGAATTCGATTTCTTTTTCTTCGTTTCGTTTTGGGGTGCTGTCACATTTCTCTACAAGGCGGAACGTCGCCCAGCGGATGCGAATTGTTCATCGCCTTGCACTCATGAATGTCGGCGGGCGGCGTGAGAGGAAGCCGGATGCGTCGTACGACCTCAAAGGATGCCGAGAAGGCCAATGCAAGTCGACAGCTCGAGATCGAGGTCCAGAGCGAGCTTGATGAGGATGTTGGCCGAATCGGTAGAGCTGCGCGAGCACGAAGAAGGGTGGCGTGAGAGGGTGAGCACGCACGCACGCACGCGAAGGGAGCACGAGGCGCGCAAACTCGCGCGCAAACTCACGCTTTCTTTGCGCAGGCATCCTTGAAACCCTTGATGCTAGCTTGAAGCTTGACGAGCAGACCCTGCAAGAGGAGAGCCTTTGCGCCCAGTTTGATGTCCAACAGGCGAGCAGTGACCAGTCCAACGATGATGGAGACGTCGACTTTGAGCGTATTGATGAGAGCAATAACGTCGAGCAGGTCCGAAGCGGAGAGGGTCACGTCTGCTTTGGCCAAGAGAACAGTGGCTAGATCTAGAGTAGCATCCAGCTTGAGGATGGCCGTCTCGGTGTCGCCAGATGCTGGGCTGAGGAGAGTCAAAAAAGTGCACAAGTCAGCTTCAGTGGCGTGCGACAAGGGATTGGTGTCCGCGACGCTACTCGCGCTCCTCCACGCAGCGCCTCCACACTCACATGTGACTTGGACCGGGACCGAGCCAGGTGTTGCAAGAGTCGACGACTGTCTTGGCATCGTCATTAGCTTGGACGACTTGCTTGTGGATGGGCTCGTTGGCTGGAGTCCAAGCGAGGGAGCCTTGGATCGCAACAGAGAGAATGAGAGCTCCGGAGAGCAGAAGAGTGGGAAGCTTCATGATGGGGAGAAGAGGGTGTGTACGGCGTTGAGTGGGGAGGTGAAGATGCGATTCGAGTCGCGAGGAGGAGTCGTGATCGAATGGGCGTGGATGGGGGAGGGATGATGAAGCTGGCGAGGGAGAGTGACCATTTGTATTTCGTGGATACGTGGGCCTACAGTCACGAGTGAAGCTCGATCGAAGTGCAGCATCACTGACAACTCTCGTGACCCGACTTGCTCCTTGGCATGACGGCTCAGCATTGCCAGCCTACTGTGTGATGGGTGCAGCAGCGAAAAGTCGATGCAGGCACGAGTCTGCCCACGTCCATTCGTCCATGCGTAGGCTCGAACATGCGACGTACGGGTCGAACGCTGATGTGAGCAGCTCTTTCACCGAGACAAATGCAAATGAGTCGGATTGCTTGCTCGGGCGACTCGTCGATCCAGCATCTCGACTTGATCAACAAAAAGTTGTGCAATCGATCGAGATGGACCCGCACGCGGCTCGAGACAAGGTTGGTGCACGCGGCACATGGAGCGAGCGCCCAAGTGACACAAAATCTGGTCCACGGAGCACCGCGACTTGCCTTGTGTGTATATATGTACTCTGTCGCCCGCCTACTGCTGCCATCTCTTTTCATCTTGACACCCGCGCGTGGACCGGCGAGAAGAAGCAGGAGTAAGGCCGATCAAAGGTGCAACATATAGAGCAGGTGCGGCCGAGCGCCGTCGCGTCTGATACATTCTACGCTTCTTCATTCTTCTGGAGCAGAACAAGCGAGCAAGACGAGGTCCAGTCTGGCGGCGGTGCAGGTGCTGCTTGACGTGCTATTTGCTTGCTTGCCAGCATCATATGACAAGCAGTGCTCCAACGTCGTATGTTTCTGGCCCTTCACTCACCATGCCGCAGCGGTGTTGTCGAATCAAGCGCATGTATGTGTATGAATGAGCGGCTGGCATCAGGGCATGCAGCAGCGACGATCGTCTAGCTTTTGCGGACGACGTGCGTGCGCGGCGGACGTATATACGATCCATCATACGCGCGCGTGAACAATCAACTCCATCGTGATGCGGTCTGCACATCGCATATGCGCCGCGTGCACATGCAGCCTTGATAATTGCCATCCACAATCTGCGCAGAGATCTGCCGAGACAAATTGATGAGCTGGTGCAGCGGCAACTTTATTTGCGCCTTGATTGCGGTAGTCCACAGCTCGCACGCGAGAGGTGTGTGTGGCAGCGCAGCGCAGTGCAGCAGATGCGAGTCGCGGAAGTGCGCTCGCTGGTGCCACGATCGAGAGCTCGATCTGCTTCCTCGTCGCGGTCCGATGAATGCTGCATGACTCTTGACCGACTTGCTCACTTAAGGTGTGATCGACCTCGACTGCTCGCCCGAGGTGCGAACCCTCTCTAAGCCTCGTGAGACAAATTTCGCGTAGTGTGATTGCGGTTTCACTTGCACTGCGAATGGCGCGCAGAGCTCCATCAGCGATGAGCGAGCGGTCTGCAAATTGAGCTGCCTACTCTCGCTCATGCTGCAGCCTCTCCCTGCTCGCAAAAGCAAAGCAAAGCATGCCGAGCTCCATTTCATCAGGAGCGCTGCATATATGCTTCTCGGTGATAGCGCGCGCTCGCTGGCATTTTCGCTTCTTGCGCGAATGTGAATCTCGTTGTGGGTCGGCCCCCTCCCAGCAGCGGCAAAGGACGGACAGCGCGGCCGCAGCTCCGAGGTGATTCGTCTGTCATATCCCGCGACACGACTTTAGCTGCTTTGTTATTGCATCGACCTTCTTTCGCTAGCTGCTGTTCAGCCCCATGCACTCACCCGACCACGGATGAGCGTGGATCTGGATCAAAAGCGATACGCGTGCAAATATAGAAGAGGATGATGGCACTATAAGCTTCGTGATTGTTGGGCGGGAGCAACTCACGCGCGCTTGTGCACGCCGCATTCGTGTCACGTGAAGGCACATGTGATGGTCTGCGTCTGCATGATGGAACGCTCTCGCCCGCACAATAACCCACGATAAGAGTCGTCGGTGGGGAATCGGTGGCGATGAAAGGCTCGGTGCTGCGTAATGCCGCTTCGTATCAGCGCGACGCCGTGTGTACCGTTTCCTCGCATTCACGAGTGTTTACCACGATGACATCGCGTCGTGGCACCGCCTCTTCGCGAGCAGCCAGCCAGCGACATGAGCAGCCAGAGGCTCAGGCATTTGCTGGGAAAAAAAAAAAAAAAAAAAAAAAAAAAAAAAAAAATTAAATTTT